AGCGCGCTCCTGTAGTTCCAGTTACTTGGAAGGCTGAGGTAGAAGGATTGCCGGAGCCCAGCAGGTCGAGGCTGTGGTGGCCGGGAGTGGCCATTGTACTCCAGTCTGGGCGACAGAGTGAGACTCAAAAAAGATCATTCTAGTTACAGTCTGGCCTGGAGATAAGGAGGTGGTAGGGAGACTGCACTCAGCCAGGACAGTGATTGATGGTGGCTCAGGCTGGGAAAGCAGGTAGGGTGAAGCAGAAGATAACACAGCAGAAGATAACACAGCGGACACTGCCAAGCTAAGCACTCACTGTCTACCAGGCCTGGGTTAGCTATATTATGTAACTTTCCAGTCAACTCCCAGAGGTATACACTACTAATGTTCCCATAAACAGATAAGGAAACTAAGGCTTAGAGAGATTAAGAAACCAGGTAGCAGGCCGCAGAGCAGTGGCTCATGCCTATAACGCCAGCACTTTAGGAGGCCGAGGTGAGAGGATTACTTGAGCCCATGAGTTTGAGACCAGCCTGAGCAACTTGGTGAGACCTCATCTCTACAATAAATCAAAAAATTAGCCAGGTAATTTCAGTTACTTGGAAGACTGAAGCAGAAGAATTGCTTGAGCCCAACAGGTTGAGGCTGCGGTGGCCATGAGCGTGCCATTGCACTGCACTCCAGCCTGGGCAACGGAGTGAGACTCCAACTCAAAAAAAAAAAAGAAAGAAACCGGGTAGCACAATATGAGTTTAAGAGCTTTCTGGTGGCTAGACGTAGTGGGTGAACCAGTGGAAGGGATCTGGGGGTAATTCCACTCTCTGGTATGGGGGTGCATCCATGGCCACTGAGGCCTGGAGGAAGATGGGTGGGGAGACTGAAGAAGAGAAATTCAGTTTGGAATTTCTTAGGGGTCTTAGTGAGATCCTAGAGGAGATGTCCCCTGCAGGCAGATGTATTTATTCAGGCCATCCAGGAAGAGGCTGGACTGGAAGTTTGGATTTCCGGGGCTTAGAGCCTCAGGCAGGAATAAGGTTGGCCAGGGAGCTTGGAGAGGAGGGGGAAGTGAGCCCTGAGGGGTCACTTAATTGACCCCTGGAGGAAGAGCAGTTGGGAAGGGAGAAAGAAGGGAGGAGCCAGGGCAGGGCAGAAGCAGATGACCGCTGGGGGACTCGAGGTGAGCACATGGTAGAGACAGTTGAGAAAAGTCCTGAGTACAGAGGAAGGCCTGAGTGTTTTCCATGGAGTGGCGGGGGCAGCCATGGGAAGGCAAGAGCTCACAGAGCGAGTGGGAGGCAGGGAGCAGGCCCGAGTGGGCCCACCTTCCCACCAGCCTGGCTGTGAAGAGGGGAAGCAGGTGAGGGATTAGTGATGAGAGCAGTTGAGGGATTAGTGATGAGAACCAATTTCTCTCAACATGTCCTAAAAGTTCCCATTTTTTTTTTGAGTCAGGTTCTCCCTCTGTCACCCAGCCTGGAGTGCAGTATCACGCGCATGATGATCACAGCTCACAGCAGCCTCCTGGGCTCAGGTCGCTCCTTCCTCCCCAGCCTCCCAAGTAGCTGGGGTCACAGGTGTGTGCCACCACACCTGGCGAACTTTTTAATTTTATTTTTGATTTTTTTTTGAGTCAGAGTCTCACCGTCACCTAGGCTGGAGTGGAGTGGCACGCTCACAGCCACTGCAGCCTCGACCTGCTGGGCTCAGACGATCCTTCCATCTCAGCCTTCCAAGTAGCTGGAACTACAGGCATGCACCACCACACTCAGTTAATTTTTTAGGTTCATTGTAGAGATGAGGTTTCACTATGTTGCCCAGGCTGGTCTGAAACTCCTGGACTTAAGCAATCCTCCAACCTTGGCTTCCCAAGGTGCTAGGATTACAGGTTTGAGCCATCGGGCTTGGCCTACAACTTTGATTTTAATCAATTTGTAAAGCAGCCGGGCTCGGTGGTTCAGCCTGTAATCCCACGCCTTTGGGAGGCTGAGGTGAGTGGATAGCTTGAGCCCGCGGGTTCGAGACCCGCCTGGGCAGCGAGACCTCACCTCTACAATAAATCAAAAAATCAGCCGGGCGTGGTAGCGCATGCCTGTAATTCCGGCTACTCGGAAGGCTGAGGCGGAAGGATCGCCTGAGCCAAGCAGGTCGAGGCTGCGGTGACCGGGAGCGGCCACTGCACTCCAGTCTGTGCGACAGAGTGAGACTCCAACTCAAAAAAAAAAAAAAAAAATTAGCTGGACGTGGTAGTGCGCGCCTGTAGTTCCAGCTTCTTGGAAGGCTGAGGTGGAAGGATCGCCAAAGCCCAGCAGGTCGAGGCTGCGGTAGCCGGGAGCGGCCACTGCACTCCAGTCTGGGTGACAGAGTGAGACGCCAACTCAAAGAAAAAAAAGTGTCACATCACGGTTACACTTTCCCCACACCAATAGCTGGCAAACATTTACTTCTGTGGTTAAACTCAGTAGTTTTCTCTGTAGCC